TAACTTAAATCATACTTGAAAACAAAATTAGATACAAATTTGTTTTCATATACTGTTTATTACATTATTTAGTTGATAAACATTTTAATCAATTTAATTGTTAGTATGTTATTAAATATGAATTTATTATTTCCATATTATAAATATTTATACATTAGATTACATTGAATTATTATTATTATTATTTATTTTATTAATTAATTTTATATTAATATTGTTATTAAAAATAAATTAAAGTTATAAATTACTAATAAAAATTGATACACTAATAATTTATATGTTATAATTTTACTAAAACTTATGTTATTTACTAAATAATTATGTTATTTAATATATTCTTATAATGTCATTATAATTTATAATTAAATATTTTTTTAATTACATTTATTGTTGATTATATTGAGATATAGATTATTATATTTATTACATTTTCTATTAAATTATACAGATTTTATTTTTTACTTATTTACTTATTATTTACTTATTATTATACAGTATTATTATATGTATTATTATTGAAAAATATTATACATTAGTAATACATTTATAATTTTATTTATATATATATACTGTAAATCTTCAAGTAAATACAAATAATAAACTAATAAAAAGCTATATTTTTATATTATTAATATTATATTAAATCAATAAATTTCTAAAAAATATCATATTATATTGAAATATTTATATAGACTGACCAAATAAAAAAAGGTATACTATATTAAAATTTATTTTTTATATTATACTTTATATACTATAGAAAGTATAAAATTTGTTTATGTATTAATTATTACACAATAAAAATGTATTAATTATTTGTAACTAACTTTGTATAGTTATTATTATTATTAATAAATAATATAATTTAGTAATTAAATAATAATCCTGTACATTTTGTCAGCCTTATTATTATATAATACTGTATATTAAATAAAATACATTAAATAAAGACTAGTTATATAATGTTACTTAAATATATTATTTGATACTGTATATGGTTTCAGTATAGATTTATATACAAAATAAAAATATATTATATTATATAATAGTTATCGTAACTATAATATTGATTATAAAATAAAAATTATTTTCATTTTTATACAAAATTGAATAAAAAAAATATTAATATTATTTATAATTTGATTTAAATGTAACTTTCATTGAATAGTTAGTTTTTAACGAAATAAAATTTATAAAAATCGATAAATTTGTTTTTATTTGTCGAAGTTATTTATATATAAATAAATTGCATTTTTAATACTTTATTGATATATTTTTATTTTATTATTTTTTAAACATTTTTTATTAACAAATATGAGTTAGATGAATTTATAGATTTTATTTTAAATATAGAAAATTTATAAAAACAACTTATTATGTAATTATTGATTTATTATTAAAATTTTATTTTGAAATTTAATAATAGAATTAATTTTTAAAATAATTTTTTTAGTAAATACTTTAAATGCTATTATTTATATATGTCTAATATTATTATTATTATTTGTATTTTATTTTAGTTTATTCAAACATTATTATAATAACATTTTTTAAATAAAAAATTAATAGCAACTTACTGTAAATTTATAATAATACAGTAATTAATAAATATTTTATTGAATATAATGTAGATTTTTATGTCATTAATTTAATTAAAAATCCATTTAATTTTTAATATATAAAATAATTATATAAAGACAGGTATAATAGTATACATTTATTTTAATGAATAAACAAATAATTTTTTTAAAAATTATATGAATATATTTTATTACAATTATATATTATTATCATCATAAATTAATAATTTTACACTAGCATCTAAAACAGCCAGTTCAATATAGATATCATTATTATCGGCATATTTATTAAGCAATTCATCCATAACATTATTCAAATTGAAATATATTTTCTGATATTTATATCTATAAATTATTAGATAAAAAATATAATGTATAGATAGTAGAAATATATTAATTAAGCATATTATCAATGATATGCACTGTAATTGATCTAGGTAGCACCAAAAAAATAATAAATAACCAATGGAAAAACATAAATAAGTTAACAGGTTAAAATATTTTAATTGATCAACGTATTTGATTAGTTGCGTATCGCAACGTATAAACAAATTTATTAATTGTTGGATATTAAGTAGTTCATTGTTACTAATAGGTACATTATCATTATTATTATCATTATCATTATTATAACTAGATAAACATGTATATTTAAATAAATACAAATTATAAAAATTTTCAAGTATACTAAAATATTTTACACGTAACTCACAGTTTAGTAATTGTGTAAAATGATACCAGGCTAACATTGGTATAACGCACACAGATATACGCATGGTAAATTTTACGGGAACATTTATTTCAAATAACATTTCCATAATGGGTTCAAAATAAATTATCATCATCAACAATGTTAAATGTAGCAAATAAATAGCCAAATAAAAAATTATACGTATCCAATTATTATTATTATTATTGATAATATAAAATTTATTATTATTATAATAACTGTTAAGATTTTTGTTTATTGATAATATTTTTTTATAATTCAACCATATAATAATATATTCAATTGACATGGATACAATATTTATTATTGTTAATAAACTTATTATTATTACATAATAATTATATTGTTTATTATTATTAGTATTGTTGTTGTTGTTAAATATTACCAATGTAATTTGAGTTAACAATAATATTAATATAGATAGTTTAATACCGTTAAATATATGGTTTTTGCAATTTATGCCAAACAAAACAAATAATTGTTTTAACATTTTTGTTATTAATTTAACAATAAAAATATAATAATAAAACATTTAGCACTTTTTTTTAAATAAATCAAGTTTATACCGTATAATATTGTATTAAGAATACATATATATATATATTTATTTATAGTACAATTATAACACAGTTTTTAATAAATATATCACTCAAAAGTGATTTATTATATAAATATTTAATATTAAATAATAATTTTTATTTAAAATACATTTTTATAACATAATTATATACAGTTTAAATATTTATATATATATATATATATATATCTATATATATATATATCTATATATATATATATCTATATATATATATATATATATAGATATATATATAAGTAAATATTTAATAATATGAATAATAGATAATAAGTTTATATTGTAAAAATTCATTTAAAATATTAATATAAAATTATATTTATTAATGATTCACAATAAAACTAAATATACTGTAATATAATTTTAAATAATATAAAATTTTGCACACAATTTAAGTGACATTTGAATATAAAATCCGATAAATTATTTATACATTATATAACATACTATACATTATTTAGTTAACAAACTTAATCTTTTTTAAAGTTGTTATTATGTTATTAAATATAAATTTTAATATTAATATTTAATTTAAATTTAAGTCACTCTTATAAATATTTATACATTGATTATATATATATTTATTTATTTTATTAAGTAATGTTAGCATAAATGTTATAATATGTAACTAATATTTATATATCAAAAGTTTATTAAAGTAATAATAGTAGTAGTAGTTGTGCTAACAGTAACTGAAGCAATCATAACATCAATATATTAATATACAATATATTTATACAAAATCTTATTATAATTTATAATTATAATAAATATTAGTTTTTATTAAATTTATTGTTGTTTAACTTGAACAGTATATTTTCAACATTTTCATTTAATTACAAAATATTTTAATTAAAAATAACAACTAGTAATAATAATTATACAAAATATTATTATAGAAAATTATTATACATTAGAATTTATTTATAAATTATATTTTTAATGTATTAAATAACTACAAATAATTGACTAAAAAACTTAGATTAAATATTTCATTTTTTAAAAAAAAATTAATCATCAATTTTCTAGAAAATATTATACTATATATTGAAATACTTATATAGACTGACCAAATAAATATGAAACAAGGTTTGAATACAACTATATTTAGTAATTAAATATTTTTAAAATTTATTATTTTCCATATTATATATTATAGAAAGTATAAAATAGGTTTTTTTTGTAGACATCAAAAAATTGCATTAATTATCTATAACTAACACTGTATTATTGTTATTATTAATTAATAAATAATATATTTTAGAAATTAAATAATAAATCTGTATATTTTGTTAGCATTATTATTGTATAATAGAAGATATAATCTTATTTATATAATAATAATAAATATAATATATATTTATAGATATACTGTATATGGTTTTTTATATAAAATTAAATTATATAATATTTATAGTAACTATAATATTGATTATGAACTAGAAAATAATTTCATTTTTAATACAAAATGTTTTATTTTTTGTATCAAATCTTTTTTTAAATAACTTTAATATTTATATATCATATAAAGTGATTTAAATAAAATTTAATTGAAAATTTATTAACGAAATAAAATTATTAAAATCGATAATTTTGTTTTTATATTTGTCTATATTATATATTAATTTTTAAATTAATTTTCTGTAAATGATTATGTACAATAATAAAAATAAATATTAATTTTATTTATAAACTATATCATAAATTTCTATTTAAAATTTTAAAAAATAATTTATACAATTTAAAATTATATATAAATTATATACTGTATATCTAATATTTAAAATGTTATTAATTATTTGATATAAAATATTTGCTTTTTATTTTTAAAAAAATATGTCTTTTAAAATATTAAAAAATTACAAATATATCTCAATATATCAATAAATAGTTATAATTTATATTTGTTTGATAAAAATAATAGATTTTTTTATACATTATATATCATATATGTTTTATAATACTATATTTACATTATATATATTATATATGCTGTATATATATCTTATAATATATAAAAATTGTATACACGTATAAAATAATACACATGTATATATCGATATAAATAAAAAAAATAATAATTGTTATTATTATTTTATTGATCATTTGTGTTATCGTGCGATGAGGACAGTTGTCTTTGCACTGACTGTCTAATCCATAGGCTATCGGGTTTAGGGTTTGGTTTCGGTTTAAAACCTAATCATATTTTTTTTGTTTAATTAGAAAAAAAATACTAATAATATTAAAATTATTCACATAATTCATTCATTCAATTATAAATACATACCGTTTAGCGATAGCTCATTGTTTTTGGCAATCAATGCTTTAACGGCACCGGTAGTCGTCAGTATATCGGCTACCGATTTATTGGACTGTTGTTGTTGGTGTTGGCTATGATCGCCGGCACCGCCGCCGCCAAGTTTGCTGCGAACCGTTGCATAGACTACTGGACTGGGCGTCGAATTAGTTGACGACAACGATCCGGTATTGTTTGTCGACGATAGACTACCGGTGCTGTTAGTGTGCCGGCTGTTAGTAGTGGTGGTCGAGTGATGATTAGTATGATGATCGCCGCCGGTAGCACCGTTGGACTGCTGCTGGCGGTGCGGGTTATGATGGTGTTGCTGTTGGCGCCGGTAGACCGAGAAAGCACTGGTACGAGCACTGGTCGGCATCGGCATCATACGATCCGAACCGCCGCTAACAGATCCCGGAGCCGATTTTGGTGTTGTTTTACTGTATACTGCAATGTCGTGTTGTTGCTGTTGGTGTTGCTGTTGACTGATATCCATGTGCTCTACGACATCATCGTTATCTCTGTATTGTTGTTGTTGTGGTGGTTGTCTGTAAACATGAAAAGCACTGTTCCTTAGGCCACTACCAAACTTTTGTTTTGGTTGTTGGTGTTGTTGTGGTTGTTGTAATCCCTTTCCCATTGAATAGTCACCATCACTGATGATGATGTCATCTGAAAGAAATGTCATAATTTAAAAATAAAATTTACTTTAAATATGTCAACTATGTTTGGTAGGGGTAGTTGGGTGGGTGGGTAGACATACATACCTCTCACTACTAGTCTATCTGTATTTACAATCACATCATCATCATCGACCACCAACTGTGTGTTGTTGTCACCGCCAGCACCTACTATACCATAGCCAATGGTGTCGACATTACCGATATCATCAATAGTATTATTAATAGTATTACTATTCAATTGGCACTTATTCATGGCATAGACTATATTAGTTGTAGGCATTACTACTACTTCGTGTGTAACACTATCGTAATGTTGACTACCATTGCCAACACCACTACTACCGGTGCTACCGTTCATCGACTGGTAGTACAGATTTTGTTGGTGCAGTTGCTGTTGATTTTCGACAATTTGACTCCGATTCTGGTATATTTGAAAAGCGCTGCCACACGGCCTACTAGTGCGACTACTAGTACTACCACTAGTGCCGCCACACACAGATCCCGATGCTGCCGTCAATATATGATCGGATAATACGGCTCCGGGACTACTACTGGCACGTCGACCACCACCACTACTCTCGTGCGATAGTTTTCGCTGTAATGGCTGCTGCTGTCGATGACTACCGGAGCCGCCCGTTGTTTGCGACATAACATCCGTCTGAGATCCCAATGATCCGTCCGCTGACTGTTGTGAGGTTCGGTCGACGGCCGACAACTGTTGTTGTTGTTGTCGACGATTGTAGACAACATTAAACGCACTGTTTTTACGGCTACTACTAGTACTACCGTTTCCAATACTACCGCCGCCGCCGACGCTACCATTCATACTGTACGCCGCTTTTCGTCCGCCACCGCCGCCGCCAGAAAAGTCGTCGTCACTGAATGAACCTATCGGTGCGTTTAGAAAATAAATACATTAATAATAACATAACAATCACAAGACATTTTTTGGGACTTACCGTTATTAAAGGCCATACCACCCATCATAGGTATGTCCACACTGAGCACCGTTGCCGTCGACTGTGGCTTAAACTTTGTTTTACCGTACAATCCTCCTCCGGTCGCCGACTCGGGACTTGACTCTGTTCCGCCACCGCTACCGCCGCCTCCGACACAACCATTCGATTCGTATAGACTACCGGTGCTATTGGTCGGCCGGTTGTTTTGGCCAGACTTTTTCATGATAGCACTGCCGCCACCACTACCGCCTCCTCCTCCTCCCCGGTGCTGATACACTGAAAACGCCGAATTACGATAGAGTCGACTGAAACTGCATGTCGATCCCGGACCGCCTTCACGGCTAAGCCGTGGCCTCGGATGAGCTAACGGTGCCGGTTCTGATGTAGTCGGACTGCTGTTGTTTTGATCCCTGAGCCCCTGTAGTTTGGTTACAGCGTTACCAATATTTTCGTAGGCCTTGGCCATACCGGACGAATCGTTCAATTGTTTCGATATTGTCAGATGACTCCAATGTAGTTTGAGGGCACCGTCATAATCGCCTACCGGTGATTAATTAGCGTATCATAAATATATAAAACATAAATGAAATAAAAAATTACTGATAAGTATTGATAAAATTAATTATAAATAATTATTAACATTATTATTATAGTATTTTAGAGTAAATCTATTAAATTTATTAAACACCCCGATACCAATACATAAAGTATCTCAATAGCCTACCGGTTCCTTATTAGTAACCCCCCCCCCCGTCCTCTCTAGCAGAATATTATCATTATGATGCAATTAAATAAGTAATATAACTAAAATTTAAATTTAAAAAAACAAACAATAAAATACAGTATCGGTATATAATTACAATTCCTAACCAACAACAAAAAATATCATACAAAACAAAACATCAGTCAGTGTAGGGCCAAACACACACACATACATAACCAAACACACACACATAGATAAACATATACACACATACCTAACAGCTCGTAGACAAGTCCCAGATTACTGCACGCCTGGCCCTCAATTTGTTTGTCCTTCTTGGCCAACCCGATAGCCAGTTGCCGTTCGTGCCAACGTTTGGCCTGCAAAAAGTTGCCCATACATCTGGAGGCGTGGCCCAGTCCAGCGTAGGCCTTGGCCTCGATATGCCTGTCGCCGATCTCCTGGGATATCCTTAAGACTTGTTCGTGAAAATGCAACGACTGTTTATAGTTGCGTCGGAAGTGATGAGCCGACCCGAGGTTACAGTAGGCTCGGGCTTCCTCGGCCTTATTGCCCAACAGTTTGGCCAGTTTGACGTGTTCGACGTGACACTCCAGTGCCCGTTCAATATCGCCAGCAGCCAAATACATGGAACCGACATTACCGATCTCCCGGGCCTCGGCCAACGTATCGCCAATTTGACGGACCAATTTCAGACAGTGCTTGTGCGACGATAGGGCATTGGCAAAGTCGCCGATACCCGAATAGACATGACCCAGTGAGGTCAGGGCCATGGCTGCCTGTAGGGTGTGCTGACATTTCATGGCCAATACTAGTTGTGACCGATGCGATTGTAGGGCATCCGAGTGCTGACATTTGGCAAAATAGGCTGAACCGAGGTTGCCGTGAGCCCGACACTCGCCCAGTGAGTCGCCCAACGATTTTGACACCTGATTGATGTTGTGTTTGTCGAGTGATATAAAAGAAAAAAATCAATATTTATTTTTTTTTCATAAAAATAAAATATATTTGTGTAATTTATACTATAATATACTGTAGTATTGTGTGTGTGTATGTACTGTACTGTAGATTTTTTTTAATGATAACAAATAGGCAAAAAAATTTAGTATACAATATATTATACTTTAAAAAAAATAAATAATTGTTAACATGTAGTTAGTAATTGAATTTTTAAATTTCAACTTTTTTTAAATTTAACATTTTTTTAGTCAATGTGGGTAAATCACCCATGTGCAATGTTTACCTATATATATAAATTTTTAATGTGTGCTAGCTAAAATAAAAATACTTATATTTTATACGTTAAAAGTTTATGTATATTATGCTAATTATTAGTAATTTTTGTTATTATTATTATTGTAAATTGTATAAATAAATATATTAATTAAAAAATTATTTTTAGAAATTAATCAATATGCTTTTACTTAATTGACATTATAATCAATTATTATTAATTGTTTTTCAAACAAACAAACAAACAAACAAACAAAAAAGTTAGTTAAATATTTGTTTTAAAAATTTAATTTTCTAAAAAAGGTTTTAATTGGAAAACTAAAATAATTATTTATATATATAGATATATATAGATATATAAAATATAAATTGATATTTGTTATTATTATTATTATTATATACTAGTATTTATTACGACAGTGTGTATTGATTTTATAGAAAGATAACAATTTTAATGTATTAGTTGAAAATTATAAAAAAAAAACTAAAAAATATTTTTTCTAAAATATCTTTTTAAAAAACAATTTTGTTTATATATATATATATATAGATTTTTATAGTTTATTATAACCAAACTCTAAAAAATTAAACTAAATAATAATTTATAATATTTCTATTTATAATGAATTAAAAGCGTGTGAATAAAATACATTTAGTCTAAAAAAATAAAAGAAAACTAAATAATTATTTATATTATATTTTAAAAAATAAAATTATATACAAATATTTTAATTAACTTTTAATTAAATATTTTCTCTAGTAATTTGTAAAATAATTATCATCATCATTTTTTATAACATACTATATATATATATAATTATACAGTATATACTGTATATATACTATTCAATATAATGTTAATTTGTTTGCAAAATAAAACAAAAACAAATAAATAAAAATAGAAATTTTCAACAAAAAAAATAATATTCTTTCTCAAAACAAAAACATATTATATATATATATATATTTGGTTTTACTTTTTTGTTTTGTTTCAAACACACATAATATATATATATATATATATATATATATATATCTACTAAACTTGAAAATATTCTGAATATTATTTAAAAATCCAAACAACAAAAAAAAAGCTAAAACTAAACTATACTGAGACACGATTATAATGCACTTAAAAGTGCCCCAAAAAATATTATTATATTTTATTTTTGAAAGTTTACTTTCAAACTATAAGTTTTAAAAATAAAGCATACAATGAGTGAGTTAGTGAGTGAGCGATAGAGAGAGAGAGAGAGAGAGAGAGAGAGAGAGAGAGAGAGAGAGAGAGAGAGAGAGAGAGAGAGAGAGACTGAAAGAGAGAGAGAGATGTTTAATAACAATAATTATGAGGTATTTTTGAAATTGCAGGGAAAGGGAGGAAAACTTAATGGTGTAGAGTCTCTCTCTCTCTCTCTCTCTCTCTCTCTCTCTCTCTCTCTCTCTCTCTCTCTCTCTCTTTCAACTATATATAACTATATACTAGTAATATTATAATAATTTTTTTCGGGGAACATTAGCAGCAGCACAGGTAGGTTATAACAGCAGCACAAGTACTACCATCAACAACAACAACAAAACAAAAAAATTAAGATAATATATATATATAAATAATACTCTATGTATGTATAGATTTTTTTCTTAAGCACCTGGAGGTCGTGTTGCATATAGGTTATAGCCTTATCCAAATTGTTGAGTGCCCAGTAGGCGCTGCTTAGTGCCGAAAATACCGAACCCTTTAGTTTCAGACTACACGATCCGATTTGTAGGGCCGATTCAAGTACTACAACAGCGTCGGCATAGTGGCCAGAGGCCAACAATTCCTGGCCGACTACGCTGGCGATAACAAACGGCGACTTATCGAAAGACATGGCCTGCAGCTGCCGGTAGATTGGCTCCAGCGATGCCCTGAGCGGCGATTTCATGGCCGTCTCGACAAAACCGGACAATAGCTGAACAGATTTGTTATCGTCGGCCAGTCCCGAGGCATAGTTGGCCAACAGTTCCGAGTATCGGTTGATATTGTTATTGGTGTTGTTGTTGTTGGTGGTGGTAGTAGTGGTGGTGTGTTGTGATGATTGGCCTTTCATTACGGCTGCTGCCGCCGCCGCGGCTGCCGCTGATGATGATGTACTGGTAGACATGATGTTTCGGGTGGGGGACAGTTAGGGTAGGGATAGGGTGGTTGGTTGGTTGGGGTTTATTATATATATATATATATGATATTAAACACGCATTTGTATATCCATTGATTTGATGATAGGGTATATGCTTTGATGGACAGTATATATATGTATACTATTACTTGAGATTATTATTAAAATTATTAATCACTAGTTTTGTTGTTGTTTTTGGGGGACAGACAGTCATTTCGATAGCACTGATGGTTTAGGGTTGACTGTCTCGACGATTGATTTTTTTGTTGTTGGTGACACAAACATACCGTACATATCCAAACACAGACACACACTAGTAGTAGTTGTGAGACACCATACATGTGCCGTACAATTGTGTGTAAATTATTTTTATTATTTTTCACTTTAATATTGAAATTATTATTAATAATATTTATTAGTATTAGTATTCACATTGTTTTATACATACATTTAAATATTTAAATAAATACAGTGAAAATACATTCAATACATTGAATACCATTGGTATAGCACATTGGGTTAAACATTTTTATAGCACTTTTATATCATATATATATAAAAATAAATGACTATTTAATTGTCAAAATACTGTCAAACTATTTATATCTATATATCACACACATTATATATATATATAAACTGTATATATATATATTTATTTATATACTACATACAGGTATATATACACACACAAACACACATAGACTGTAAATAACTTTTTTTCGGGTATATACTGTGTGTGTGTGTGTGTGTGTGTGTGTGTGTGTGTGTGTGTGTGTGTGTGTGTGTGTGTGTATAAGCACATCAATCTCGATATAAAGGTATGTCTATTAAGAGGAGTCGGTATGAGTGTGTGTGTATATATGTGTGTGTAGTGTACATGAATGTTGTTGAGCACTGGTATGATCCTCAGGACTAATGTTTCTCCACTGTTAGTGTGTGTGTGTATGTGTTGGGGCTGTTAGGCTATCATCAACAATAGCCCATGAGAGAGAGAGAGAGAGAGAGAGAGTGGATGGATGGATGCCAATGGTGCCACCAGCACTAAAAGTACAGGTGCCAGTGCTAGCTATGTGGCTCAGGTATGCAATATAAATCTGTAGTACATAGACTCTAATAGTATGGCCTCTTAGTTACCTCTCTCTCTCTCTCTCTCTCTCTCTCTCTCTCTCTCTCTCTCTCTCTCTCTCTCTCTCTCTCTCTATTTTACTCACTCACTCACTTACATTAAAAGTTTTTACTGGTTATACCTGTGCTATGTGTGTGTGTGTGTAGAGAGAGAGAGAAAGAGAGAGAGAGAGAGAGAGAGAGAGAGAGAGAGAGAGAGAGAGAGGACTGGTAGTTAGTATCGCCGTCTATACCAACTAATGGCAGTCCGTTCTGGTTATTAACCCTCCAGTTGTTGGCAATAATTATATAATAGTAATAATAATATTAATACTGTAAAGAAATAGTAGAAAATATCCATAGATTATATATATATATATACTGTATATGTATTGAATGGTATATTGAAATTTTTTTTAACAATTTTTTATTGTATGTGTAGACATAGACATTTTATTTATTTATTTTATTTTTTATTTATTATTATTATTTTTTTTGCTGGAAAAAATCCCATTGTACTGTATAGTAGACATATATAAACTTTATTTTGTTTTTTAAAAAAATGCTGTATAAAGTTTTATAATGATTATATAAGTATTATTTATATATATATATATACAGTATATGATGATTATGACTGTAGGACGATGATGATGATGCTAATGTTTATTATTTATTTATTTTTTATGTTTACTAATAAAAATATCTATAAAATAAAATACTAAACTTTTTTCGTTGTTGTTTAGTTTGCTATAATATATAATTAATAATAAAATTTTTGTATATATATATACAGTATATGTACAATATATACAGTATATACAGTAATTATATGTAAAAAAATATATAAATTTCCGAGAAATATGGCTATCAATGATTAGTGTATTTTTATTATTTAAAAAAATATATAATTATTATATACACAGGTATTAATAATATATTATGTATTACTCATATAATACATACTGTATAAGTGTTAATAATAATAATAATAATAATAATAATTTCTATGTAAATTTATTGCTAATGTTGCAAATATAATTGTTTCCAATGAAAAAATAATAATATATATATTTATATAAATATATTATTAACATATTTGTCTATTTTATTATTGAAAAATATTTATTTTTTAAACTAATTAATAATAATCAAAAAATTATTATTTAAACTAGTATAATTTTGTTAATATTTTATTTTTGAAAATTATTATAAACTAAATGTACAAATTATATATATATATCAATACTTTATTTTATTAATTGAATCTAAATATGTTAATTAATAATAATTATTATTATTTAAATAAAATAATTTTTTGTACAAAAACAAATACATTAATGAAATGTATTAATATTTAGTAATTTTTTTTTGAAAATTTAAATAATTCAATGAATTATTGATTAAATAAATTAGTTATAGAAATAGTATTTATAGTAAGTAAATAAAATATTAAAATAATATTTATTTAAAAATTTTATTACACATTAAAATTTTTACAGCTTCAAAATTATTATTATTATTAGTATTATTTCAAATAATTTATTTGAGAAATAAAGTAAATAATTTATTCAAATTTCTAAAATGTAAATAAATTATATACAGTATATTAATATATAGTTTTTAATTTATACAGTTTATTTATCTACAGTATATTAATATATAACTAATATAATATTTTAATTGATTTCTTATCGTAATTATTTTAAACTTTTACTTATCTTTATAAAAAAAATTATCTATAAAATTAACTTTATTTGTTTTTTTAAAAATACATTTAGATATTTTTAATAAATAATAATAATAAAAAAAAAATTAATATAAATTTTTCAAAAGTCTATATATAGTATTGATATTTTTATTTTTATTTGATTTTATATGTATAACCACTTTAAATATAAAACTGATTAATTCAATGCAATTAAAATTTTTGTTATGTTTAAGACATTAAAAATAATTTGTGTCTTAACTTTGACTTATGTTTGCCAGTGATTGTATGTGTATGTGTATGTGTATGTGTATGTGTATGTGTATGTGTATGTGTATGTGTATGTGTATGTGTATGTGTATGTGTATGTGTATGTGTATGTGTATGTGTATGTGTATGTGTATGTGTATGTGTATGTGTATGTGTATGTGTATGTGTATGTGTATGTGTATGTGTATGTGTATGTGTATGTGTATGTGTATGTGTATGTGTATGTGTATGTGTATGTGTATGTGTATGTGTATGTGTATGTGTATGTGTATGTGTATGTGTATGTGTATGTGTATGTGTATGTGTATGTGTATGTGTATGTGTATGTGTATGTGTATGTGTATGTGTATGTGTATGTGTATGTGTATGTGTATGTGTATGTGTATGTGTATGTGTATGTGTATGTGAATAAAAAATCTTGTCATTAATGACAGTCATATTTTGATAAATTATCTTGATAAAAATATAATTATATAAATAAAATTTACAATTAGACCAATATATGTTCATGGTTAATGCATTATACATTATATAAGTACAGTATAATAATAAATTTGTTAGCAATGTGTATGTATGTATGTGTAATATACGTATATTAATGTCAATATATGATTATATAATAGTTATCTGGGTTTAATCTTTTATTTTTCTCATAATTTTTTACATATAAATTTTTAAATATTATAATTTATAAACATTAATACTCTAGAGTTTAATGTACACATAAATTTTATATACTGTATATACAGTATATATATATCTATCAATAATTTTTTTTTAAAAAACATTAAAATTATTAAATATCATATTTTTATTAAACAGTAAATGTTTTCATCACTTTAGCAATAAATAAATATAAACTATATATAAAAATATAATAATAATATTATTAATAGTATATAGTTTAATAATGTATAATTAAAATTTATTATTTTGTCATAGAAATAATTATATATTAGATATATTGTATATATACTATACAGTATACCTTTATTACTATTAGATAAAAAAAATTTAATAATAGGAAAATAGATTTATATATATATATATATATATATATATATATATATATAGTTTTAACACATATTTTATTTAAATATTTTTTAACACCAACCTTTTACATATTCTCTCTCTCTCTCTCTCTCTCTCTCTCTCTCTCTCTCTCTCTCTCTCTCTCTTTCTCACAATTTTATTTTTAATACCAGTGTTATGACTTATAATAGAGTATATTGTTAATCAAAGAGAGAGAGAGAGAGAGAGAGAGAGAGAGAGAGAGAGAGAGAGAGAGAGTATGTAAGGAATGGGAGGGAGGGTTTGCCTCTAAGAGATGACATTAACATGTTTTGCCTCCAAAATTTTTTTTATATATATAAAGAGAGAAAGAGAGAGAGAGAGAGAGAGAGAGAGAGAGAGAGAGAGAGCAATAGTTGTATAACAAGTTAGCATTAGTTTATAACTATTTATTTATTTTTTCTAAAAGCAAAATTGAAAAGATTGAAAAACTATTTCTCCTGTATTTTATGCATCCATTAGTAAGTAATCTAAAGTGTGATCTATACCTAAGGTTTTTATTTGAGAGATGTTTTTTGAGAGTAATATATAAATTTTTATTATATATATGATACCAATATATATATACAGTATTTATATACAGTATATATCTATTACAGCAAACATAGACATACATACACACACAGGTTAAGGGCAAATAGAGACTAATAACAAATAATTTTTTTTATAAAAAAAATAATATTAATATAATCTTATTTAGGAATGTATTTTAAAAATTAACAACAAAACAAAAAAAACAACACAAAGTCGGCCATAAATGGAAAAATAGTAATAATAATAATAATAAAACTAAGATTTTTATTTTAAATAAATTTTATTTAAATAAAAATAT